TAGAGGACCTGGTGAGGGGGGTAGGGGGGTTAGAGGACGTAGGGGGGTAGAGACCTAGGAGAGGGAGGGGTATAGAGACCTCAGGAGAGGTAGGGGGTGTAGAGGACCTAGGAGAGGTAGGGGGGTAGAGGACCTAGGAGAGGTAGGGGGAGGTAGAGGACCTAGGAGAGGTAGGGGGGTAGAGGACCTAGGAGAGGTAGGGGGGGTAGAGGACCTAGGAGAGGTAGGGGGTAGAGGACCTAGGAGAGGTAGGGGGGTAGAGGACCTAGGAGAGGTAGGGGGGTAGAGGACCCTAGGAGAGTGTAGGGGTGGTAGGGGACCTAGGAGAGGGAGGGGTGTAGAGGTAGAGGACCTAGGAGAGGGAGGGGTGTTAGGGGTAGAGGACCTAGGAGAGGAGAGGGGGTGTAGAGGACCTAGGAGAGGTAGGGGGTGTAGGGACCTAGGAGAGGTGGGGTTGTAGAGGACCTAGGAGAGGTGGGTTGTAGAGGACCTAGGAGAGGTAGGGGTGTAGAGGACCTAGGAGAGGTAGGGGGGGTAGAGGACCTAGGAGAGGTAGGGGGTAGGGTGGGTAGAGGGTAGAGGACCTAGGAGAGGTAGGGGGGTTAGGGGAGGGGGTAGGGGACCTAGGAGAGGTGGGGGGGTACGAGGACCTAGGAGAGGTAGGGGGGGTAGGGGACCTAGGAGAGGTAGGGGGGTAGGGGACCTAGGAGAGGTAGGGGGGTAGAGGGCTAGGAGAGGTAGGGGGGGGTAGAGGACCTAGGAGAGGTAGGGGGTGGTAGAGGACCTAGGAGAGGTAGGGGGGTAGTAGAGGGCTAGAAGGTAGGGGGTAGGGGTGGGTAGAGGACCTAGGAGAGGTAGGGGGGTAAGGACTACCGGTAGGGGGGGTAGAGGACCTAGGAGAGGTAGGGGGGTGGTTTAGAGGGCTAGGAGAGGTGGGGGAGGTGGGGGGGGGTAGAGGACTAGGAGAGGTAGGGGGGTTTGTAGGGGGGTAGAGGGCCTAGGAGAGGTGGGGGGGGGGTAGAGGTAGACAGGGGTAGAGGACCTAGGAGAGGTGGGGGTGGGTAGAGGGACCTAGGAGAGGTAGGGGGGTAGAGGACCTAGGAGAGGTAGGGGGGTAGAGGGCCTAGGAGAGGTAGGGGGGTAGAGGGCCTAGGAGAGGTAGGGGGGGGGTAGAGGACCTAGGAGAGGTGGGGGGGTAGAGGACCTAGGAGAGGTAGGGGGGTAGGGGACCTAGGAGAGGTAGGGTGGGTAGAGGGCCTAGGAGAGGTAGGGGGGGGTAGGGTGAGGGCCTAGGAGAGGTAGGGGGGGGGTAGAGGGCCTAGGAGAGGTAGGGGGGGGTTAGTAGAGGACATAGGAGAGGTAGATGGGGGGGTAGAGGACCTAGGAGAGGTAGGGGGGGGAGAGGTAGAGGACATAGGAGAGGTAGGGGGGGTAGAGGACCTAGGGGGTCGGGGGGGGGTGGGGTAGAGGACCTAGGCGAGGTAGGGGGTGGTAGAGGACCTAGGAGAGGTTGGGGGGTAGAGGACTAGGAGAGGTAGGGGGGGGGTAGAGGACCTAGGAGAGGTAGGGGGTAGAGGACCTAGGAGAGGTAGGGGGGTAGAGTGACCGAGGAGAGTTAGGGGGGGTAGAGGATAGGAGAGGGTAGGGGGGTAGGGGGGTAGAGGGCCTTAGGAGAGGGTAGAGGGGTTAGAGGACCTAGGAGAGGTAGGGGGGTTAGAGGGCCTAGGAGAGGTAGGGGAGTAGAGGGCCTAGGAGAGGTAGGGGGGGTAGAGGACCTAGGAGAGGGAGTGTTGTTTACCTTGACCAACTGAGGTTGGTGTCACTGAGAACTGAGTGATACCAGTGAATGAGGTGTTGGTTCATGTCCAGTTCTTTCATGTTGGCCAGTAGAAGTGTGGTCGTATGGTGATAAAGGCAGAGGAAACATCTCTAAAGAGCTCTGGAGTAGAGTTTAGGTTGGTCAAGGTGTTTCAGGATCAGGTGTGTGAAGGTGGGGACTGCATCATCTATACTACGCCCGTTTCTATAGGCAAACTGGTAGGGACCAGTTTCCTATCCACAGAGAGTTTTAGCTTCCCAACCACTATTCAAACTGGTAGGGACCAGTTTCCTATCCACAGAGAGTTTTAGGTTCTCTCCAGATTTGACGAGCACTGAGGTCAGAGCCACTGGTCGGTAGTCATTTTGCTCCTTGGGGGATGGCTTTTATCTGGCCCCAAGGCCTTCCTGGGGTTCAGCGGTCTAAAAACCTTTGTCACCTGCTCTGTGGTAATGATGATTTCCTCTGCATCAGAGGTAGGGACAATCTGTAGGACTGCAAAGCAGTCATTTGTGTGATTATGGGTGTCAAATATTTTGTAGAACAGGTTCAGTTCCTTCTCAAATGTGGGCTCGTCCACCACGTGGAGGGGTTTTGTGGGGTGCTGACATGCCGGCCATGCTCTTCAAGGTTTGCCAGGCTAGTCTAGGGTTGGTTTGCCAGGCTAGTCTAGGGTTCGTTTGCCAGGCTAGTCTAGGGTTGGCTGCTGTCAAGGCTCTCTCTAGTTCTTCTTCTTCCTTCTGAATCCTCTTAACATCCCCGTCCTTGTTGTTGAAGGACACTATTTTCTTTGAGAGCCTTTGTGATGTCCTTTAACATAAAGCTTACTGTTGGGGTAGACCTTAACTGTTTTAGTGGGTATTACTGTCTCTACACAGGAGTGAACAGAGTCTGTATTGACAGGTTGTGTTATCTGTCCTGTCAGGCTGGGACCTCCCAGTCAGCCTGTTCTGTACGGTCATCTGACCACTCGGTCTTTCTCACCAGTCTGGTTCTCTTTAGCTTTTTTCTAAATATAAACGCAGTATGTTAAGTGTTGGTCCCATGTTTCATGAGCTGAAATAAAAAGACCCCAGACATTTTCCATATGCACAAAAAGCTTATTTCTCTCAAATGTTGTGCACACATTTGTTGACGTCGCTGTTAGTGAGCATTTCTCCTTCGCCAAGATAATCCATCCACCTGACAGGTGTGGCATATTAAGAAGCAGATTAAACAGCATGATCATTACACAGGTGCACCTTGTGCTGGGGACAATAAAACGCCACTAAAATGTGCAGTTTTGTCACATAACACAATGCCACAGATGTCTCAAGTTTTGAGGGAGCGTGCAATTGGCATACTGACTGCAGGAATGTCCACCAGAGCTGTTGCCAGAGAATTGAATGTTAATTTCTCTACCATAAGCCGCCTCCAAAGTTGTTTTAGGGAATTTAGCAGTACCTCCAACCAGCATCACATCTGCAGACAGCGTGTATGGCCGAACGGTTTGCTGATGTCAACGTTGTGAACAGAGTGCCCCATGGTGGCGGTGGGGTTATGGTATGGGCAGGCATAAGCTACGGACAACAAACACAATTAAATTTTATCGATGACTTTGAATGCACAGAGATAATGTGACGAGATCCTGAGGCTAATGCACGGCCCCATGTCGCAAGAATCTGTACACAATTCCTGGAAGCTGAACATTTCCCAGTTCTTCCATGGCCTGCATACTCACCAGACATGTCACCCATTGAGCATGTTTGGGATGCTCTGGATCGACAGCACGTTCCAGTTCCCGTAAATATGTAGGAACTTCATACAGCCATTGAAGAGGAGTGTGATAACATTCCACAGGCCACAATCAACAGACTGATCAACTCTATGTGAAGGAGATGTGTCACGCTGCATGAGGCAAATGGTGGTCACACCAGATACTGACTGGTTTTCTGATTCACGTCCTACCACGCCCCTTTTTTTAAAGGTACAATATATATACAAAATTATGTGGACACCCCTTCAAATTAGTGGATTCGGCTATTTCAGCCACACCCGTTGCTGAGAGGTGCATAAAATCCGAGCACACAGCCATGCAATCTCCATAGACAAACATTGTCAGTATAATAGCCTTACTGAAGAGCTCAGTGTCTGTCAACGTGGCACCGTCATAGGATGCCACCTTTCCAACAAGTCAGTTTGTCAAATTTCTGCCCTGCTAGAGCTGCCTCGGTCAACTGTAAGTGCTGTTATTGTGAAGTGGAAACGTCTAGGAGCCAACAACGGCTCAGCCGCGAAGTGGTAGGCCACAAAAGCTCACAGAACGGGACCGCCGAGTGCTGAAGCGCGTAAAAATAATCTGTCCTCGGTTGCAACACTCACTACCGAGTTCCAAACTGCCTCTGGAAGCAACGTCAGCACAATAACTGTTTGTCAGGAGCTTCATGAAATGGGTTTCCATGGCCGAGCAGCCGCACACAAGCCTTAGATCACCATGCACCATGTCAAGTATCGCCTGGAGTTCTGTAAAGCTCGCCACCATTGGATTCTGGAGCAGTGGAAACGCGTTCTCTGGAGTGATGAATCATGCTTTACCATCTGGCAGTCCGACGGACGCTAGGAGAACGCTACCTGCCCGAATGCATAGTGCCAACTGTAAAGTTTGGTGCAGGAGGAAGAATGGTCTGGGGCTGTTTTTCGTGGTTTTTCAGGCTCGATAGTTCCAGAGAAGGGAAACCTTAACGCTACAGCATACAATGACATCGAACACCTTTGGGATGAATTGGAACGCCGACTGCGAGCCAGGCCTAATCGCCCAACATCAGTGCCTGACCTCACAAATGCTAGTGGCTGAATGGAAGCAAGTCCCCGCAGTAATGTTCCAACATCTAGTGGAAAGCCTTCCCAGAAGAGTGGAGGCTGTTATAGCAGCAAAGGGGGAACCAACTCCATATTAATGGCGATGATTTTGGAATGAGATGTTCGACAAGCAGGTGTCCACATACTTTTGGTCATGTAGTGTATCTGTGATCAACAGATGCATATCTGCATTCCCAGTCATGTGAAATCCATAGATTATGGCCTAATTTATTTATTTCAATTGACTGATTTCCTTATATGAACTGTATCTCAGTAAAATATTTGAAATACCTCGGAGGTCCTTCTTTAGCCTCGTCAGGTCCTTCTGAAAGTCTTCAAACTTCATCTGGGAAGCCTGGAACAGGTCCTGGGGCTCAGGGAGAGGGTAGAGGCATGTCTCCCTGCCTGCGTCCTGAAAACACAACACATCACCTTAGAGACCAGTCTGACCCTGACATGACCCTGACGTGACCCTAAAGCACAGGCCTGAGAGCACCAAGGGCCACCGAGATTAGTCAGTTAGACAGGACAAGAAAGAGTTAGCGCCTGTAGAGTGGGTTAGGGTCGTAACAGGGTTAGGGTCGTAACAGGGTTAGGGTCGTAACAGGGTTAGTGCCTGTAGAGTGGGTTAGGGTCGTAACAGGGTTAGGGTTAGGGTCGTAACAGGGTTAGGGTTAGGGTCGTAACAGGGTTAGCTCCTGTAGAGTGGGTTAGGGTTGTAACAGGGTTAGGGTTAGGGTCGTAACAGGGTTAGGGTCGTAACAGGGTTAGGGTCGTAACAGGGTTAGGGTTAGGGTCGTAACAGGGTTAGGGTTAGGGTCGTAACAGGGTTAGCTCCTATAGAGTGGGTTAGGGTCGTAACAGGGTTAGGGTTAGGGTCGTGTTAGGGTTAGGGTCGTAACAGGGTTAGCTCCTGTAGAGTGGGTTAGGGTCGTAACAGGGTTAGGGTTAGGGTCGTAACAGGGTTAGGGTTAGGGTCGTAACAGGGTTAGCTCCTGTAGAGTGGGTTAGGGTCGTAACAGGGTTAGGGTTAGGGTCGTAACAGGGTTAGGGTTAGGGTCGTAACAGGGTTAGGGTTAGGGTCGTAACAGGGTTAGCAGACCACCAGGCTGCTGAATAGCTACCACCCTGCTGCTCCACATTTGGACATTCTTCTCCCCCTCCAATAGACATCTACCCTGCTCCCACCCCAAAATACATGTATCTTATATTTATCATTGTCACAGTTGTAAACATGTATATACAATATAGATATATATCTCTATATCTAGATATATACACACTACCGGCCAAAAGGCTTTAGAACACCTACTCATTCAAGGGTTATTCTTAATTTTTTACTATTTTCTACATTGTAGAATAATAGTAAAGACATCAAAACTATGAAATAACACATATGGAAACATGTAGTAACCAAAAACGTGTTAAACAAATCAAAATATATTTTATATTTGAGATTCTTCAAATAGCCACCCTTTGCCTTGATGACAGCTTTGCACAGTCTTGGCATTCTCTCAACCAGCTTCATGAGGTAGTCACCTGAAATGCATTTCAATTAACAGGTGTGCCTTCTTAAAAGTTAATTTGTGGAATTTCTTTCCTCAATGCGTTTGAGCCAATCAGTTGTGTTGTGACAAGGTGGTTGGAGATTTTTGGTTCCAACCGCCGTGTCTTTGTGAGAGGCGATGTGGGTGAACGGATGATCTCCGCATGTGTATTTCCCACCGTAAAGCATGGAGGAGGAGGTGTTATGGTGTGGGGGGGCTTTGCTGGTGACACACTGTGACACTTAACCAGCATGGCTACCACAGCATTCTGCAGCGATACGCCATCCCATCTGGTTTGGGCTTAGTAGGACTATCATTTGTTTTTCAACAGGACAATGACCCAACACACCTCCAGGCTGTGTAAGGGCTATTTTACCAAGAAGGAGAGTGATGGAGTGCTGCATCAGATGACCTGACCTCCACAATCCCCCGACCTCAACCAAAATGTGTTATTTAATAGTTTTGATGTCTTCACTATTATGCTACAATGTAGAAAATAGTACAAATAAAGAAAAACCCTTGAATGAGTAGGTGTGTCCAAACTTTTGACTGGTACTGTATTTTTGTATTTATTGTTTCATTCACACCTGCACTGTTGGAGCTCAGAGCTGAAGTATTTCACTGTACACTGCAACTACATCTGGGACAATGTGCATGTGACTAAATCAGAACCTAATAGCTAAACACCTTATTTACAAATGGGCTTCATATAGCTCAACATCTTCCTGGGCATTAGTTACCACTGAGGGAAAAATGTATACACTTTAAAAGTCAAGCCCTGGTCTGCCCCCCGTGCCAAGACAGAAGAAAGAGCCTGCCTAGTCTGAACATTGGAACAGGACTCAGATAAACAGGATCCAACCCACCTGGTCAAAGTGTCTCAGATAGTAAGCTACTATGTAGGACAGCAGACTCCGTGTGTTATCCTGCAAAAAGGAGGGAGACAGAAGAAATTAGCTTCGGTTCAGCCACGGAATTCATGTTAGGCTCACCACACTTTCTCACAAAAGAGTTCTGCAAAGCTTTTACAAAATGTATATATATATTTTAACCCACATTTATATCATCATAAGATATGGTAGGAACAGTAAACTACAGTCTCACAGCACAGTATGAACCATGTCTGACAGTGTAACTAGGAGGTATAACTAATGGACCAGTAAACTACAGTCTTACAGCACAATATGAACCATGTCTAACCAGGTATAACTAATGGCATCCTATTGCCTATTTAGTGCACTACAGTTGACCAGATGGACTCTACATAGGGAATAGGGTGCAGTCCTAGTGCCCTAGCAGTGCCTCTTCCAGCCACTCACGCTGCTCTTGACATCCTTCAGCTTGGGCAGGATATCCAGGTTAAAGCCGTCAGCCTGTCCTCTGGTTCGGTTGCCACCATTCATGAAGTTACCGAAGGCCAGGACCAGACCCAGCACCTGCATCACACACTGGCCACTCTGCAGGGTCTGGAGAGGAAGAGATGGGCAGGCGGACATGCATATAGACAGGGAAACAAAGGGACAGGCAGGAGAGATTGAGACCGGGACGGGGGGGGGGGGGGGGGACGCAGGCAGGAGAGATTGAGACAGAGACGGGGGTGGGGCAGACAGGAGAGATTGAGACAGAGACATAGAGAGAGGGGGGGGGAGACCGAGAGAGTCAGTGTATATGAGGCTGAGGGGATGAATATGAGCAAGCATTCACATTCACCTGGCTTCATATTGAAAACTGTTTTCTGAACACACTTTATCCAGAACGGCTGTTAATATCAATCTATGCTGATGTTCCTGTTTAAACAATTTCCACAGTGGAAGGATTGAGACAATATTTACTCAGTAATATGATAGTGTCTGGTAAAACGGTCCAGAGGCCAAAACCTGCACACAAACACGTCACACACACCCACATACACACAAACACGTCACACACACCCACGTGCACACAAAGACTCACCGTGCACACTCTCTGCAGGATCTCCAGTTTGCGCAGGATAGAGGAGATCCATTCAGAGAAGGTGGACTGAAACAGGATACAGAACACCCGGCCTGAGAAGTTGGGGATCTGATGTAACTGGGACAGGAACCTGGGATAGAGGAGACGAGAGATCGAGGGATGGGTTTGAGGCTACCGTTTCATGTAGTGGAGGCTACCGTTTCATGTAGTGGAGGCTACCGTTTCATGTAGTGAAATCTACGTTTTTAGTCACGTTCTACTTGTTGAACATGATTGGTTGATTGACTCTACTTGTTGAACATGATTGGTTGATTGCCATTCTCTAGAACACCTACTGCTCAGGCTTGTCCAGTGGTTTGGCGTTGTCCTTGTCCTTAGATGACTTGATGTGCTTATCGATCTTCTCCATCTCATCCTGTTGTGCTCTCTGAAAAGACAACATCAGGACAGAATCATTAGAACACATGACAGACCACATACATCACAATTTACATTCAACTGATTAGACACCACTCAATTTAGAGATTCAAATATGTGCTCATCACATATTCTAATTTCCAAGAATTCAGAGCACTGATTTCAAAGACCACATACGACAAATGTGTTCAGCATTCATAGCAGTAGTACTTCAGTAGTAGTACTTCAGTATTAGTACAACAGTAGTAGTACAGTAGTAGTAATACTTCAGTAGTAGTAGTAATTCAGTAGTACAATAGTAGTAGAACTTCAGTAGTAGTACAGTAGTAGTGTAGTAGTACTGCAGTAGTACTTCAGGTAGTAGTAGTACTTCAGCAGTACAGTAGTAGTGTAGTAGTAGTACTGCAGTAGTACTTCAGTAGTAGTGCAATAGTAGTAGTAGTAGTAGTACTTCAGTCGTAGTAGTAATAGTAGTACTTCAGTAGTGTAGTAGTAGTACTGCAGTAGTACTTCAGTGGTAGTAGTACTTCAGTAGTAGTAGTACTTCAGTAGTAGTGTAGTAGTACTGCAGTAGTACTTCAGTAGTAGTAGTAGTACTTCAGTAGTAGCAGTAGTACTGCAGTAGTACTTCAGTGGTAGTAGTACTTCAGTAGAAGTAGTAGTAATAGTAGTACTTCAGTAGTAGCAGTAGTGTAGTAGTACTGCAGTAGTACTTCAGTAGTAGTAGTACATCAGTAGTAGTAGTGCAATAGTAATAGTAGTAGTACTTCAGTCGTAGTAGTAATAGTAGTACTTCAGTAGTGTAGTAGTAGTACTGCAGTAGTACTTCAGTGGTAGTAGTACTTCAGTAGTAGTAGTACTTCAGTAGTAGTGTAGTAGTACTGCAGTAGTACTTCAGTAGTAGTAGTACTTCAGTAGTAGCAGTAGTACTGCAGTAGTACTTCAGTGGTAGTAGTACTTCAGTAGAAGTAGTAGTAATAGTAGTACTTCAGTAGTAGCAGTAGTGTAGTAGTACTGCAGTAGTACTTCAGTAGTAGTAGTACTTCAGTAGTAGTAGTGCAATAGCAATAGTAGTAGTAGTGTAGTAGTAGTAGTAGTAGTAGTAGTAGTACTTTAGTATGTTATTCTGGCACAGGGAATCAGACCCTTGTTTACATGGCAAACTAGGAAAATCGTCTCCTAAACTGGTGGTGCCTTGAGGAAAACAAACCAAGAAAAGACAAAAGCCACAGTCTAAACCATTTCCTCTAGAGCAGGCGCTCTTATCCACAGCCCCAGTCTAAAACATTTCCTCTAGAGCAGGCGCTCTTATCCACAGCCCCAGTCTAAAACATTTCCTCTAGAGCAGGCGCTCTTATCCACAGCCCCAGTCTAAAACATTTCCTCTAGAGCAGGCGCTCTTATCCACAGCCCCAGTCTAAAACATTTCCTCTAGAGCAGGCGCTCTTATCCACAGCCCCAGTCTAAAACATTTCCTCTAGAGCAGGCGCTCTTATCCACAGCCACTTACAAGAGCAATCAGGGTTAAGTGCCTTGCTCAAGGGCACATAGACAGATCTCACCAAGTCGGCTTGGGGATTCGATCCAGCGACCTTTCGGGTTACTGGCCCAACGCTCCTAAACGCTAGGCAACCTGCCGCCCACTTACTGTACTGCTGTAACATAACTGATGATGTGGTTGACGCCTAAATTATGGAACATTTGGGGTTGAGAAACAATGTCTAAGGGCCAATTTTCCCAGGGCTCCTAGGACTGCTGGGCCCCTCTGACTGACAGTCTCATGTTAACCAAATTAACCATACAAAATTGCACAGTGTGGGTTTTAAAATGATCAGTAATATTTGCGCTGGGAACTTATTCTAAGACCAACTCACTGTACATGCATACATCAGCATGTAGCCTATGCAAGCAGCAGGTTGGCATTTATTGTCATGAATCTTGCCCTGGAGGCAGCTCTGCAGTGGTCACTAGTTGGCACAGCCACAAAGTCATACAATCTGATTTGAAACCTAACCCTAACCACACTGCTAACTCTAATGCCTAAGACAAACCTTAATATTTTGTATGTTGCTTTTTTTTAAACAAGTTCTTACAATATACTGTAGCCAATTTTGACTTTGCAGCTGCCCCATTGCTCAGTTCTGCCTCCAGAGCAAGATTCATGACAATAAACGTCAACCTGCGTACAAGCATCAGCATTTAGCCTCTATACAACATCGATCAACAATCAACTCCACATTGGTTATCATCGTGCCCAGATCACATTTATAGTGTAACGTTCACTGAATAATGACAACAAAAGGCTGGTGAGTGAGTCTCTCCAAAATGTTCCTGGATATCAAGACATAAACATGGCGGCAGTTCTAAACCGTCCGCAGCGTTAACACCTTTGGTAAACAACGCTTAGCTTTCCACATTAAAAGACTCCATACACAGCCATATGGCCAGACAGACATCACCTCTAACCATTTCAAATGCTTACAATAAGATGGAGGGAAAATGGCTGTGATCAAAAGAGGAAGGAACCACGCAAATTAGTAAGAAAAAATAAATAAATAAATACCCCCATGGAGGACTGAAGCGAGAGGAACACCCGTCACCATTTAAGCATTCTGGCTGCATCTCTAACGGCTACATATTCCATATACAGTGAACTACCTTTGACCAGAGCCCATAGAGTCGTAGTCATCAAAAGTAGTGCACTGTATAGGGAATAGGGTGTCATAGGGCTCTGGTCTAAAGTAGTGCACTATATAGGGAATAGGGTGTCATAGGGCTCTGGTCTAAAGTAGTGCACTATATAGGGAATAGGGTGTCATAGGGCTCTGGTCTAAAGTAGTGCACCATATAGGGAATAGGGTGCCATTTGGGACGTATCCTACAGCTGGCTGTTAGAGTGACAAGCCTTGAAGAGTCTGGCAGGACCGATCCATTCAGCCGGCCAGAATGTAAACTTTGGAAACTCAGATCCATTAAGCTACATCACATAATCAATCCCAAATTAAAACCTTCAAGGCCTTTACTCCGCTCCCCACTCCACACATTTCTACAACTCTGCTCCGCTCCCCACACATTTCTACAACTCTGCTCCCCACACATTTCTACAACTCTGCTCCGCTCCCCACACATTTCTACAACTCTGCTCCCCACACATTTCTACAACTCTGCTCCGCTCCCCACACAGTTCTACAACCCTTCAAAATGTGGGCATCAAACACAGTGTGTGTCCCAAATGGCCCCCTATTCCCTATATAGCGCACTACCTTTAACCAGAGGCCTATGGCCCCCTATTCCCTATATAGCGCACTACCTTTGACCAGAGGCCTATGTAGGGAGAAGGGTACCGTTTGGGACGCAAACAGTGATAAGTATTCTGTTCACTTTACCATCTGTCCACAAGGGCAAACTCTCTCTCTGCTTCTCATTAAACAGGGGTTTAATAAAAACAAGCCTTTTTCCAACTGGTGGAGTTGTGAATGAAAGGTTATAAATGAGGACCGAGAGACCGTTATCAAAAGACAATATATACATGTAAGGTATTTCTTGGCCGGGGACAATAAATCAGTAATAGTATCTCAGTGTGCATCCCAAATTGCACCCTATTCCCTACATAGTGCACTACTTTTTGAACAGAACCTATAGGGAATAGGGTGTCATTTGGACACAGGCAGATCCAAATCAGAATCAGACCGAGAACACATGCCCTAAACAAATAGAAGCATGACAGAATCATCATGTAGAGAGAAATGGTCCTATTCAACTTTTAGTTAAATTGTGTATTTCTCTCTCTGGTCCGGCTCTCCATCCTAGACAGCCATTAAACACGCCTGCTTTCCATCGTCCCTGAATAAGCAGCCAGACAAACATTTATATGTTCTCCTCCTCCATTCTTCCCCTTTTTCCTTCCAGCCATAAGAGATGGTGGAAGTACTGAGTGATGAGGAGGACCAAGTTAACGGAGTGGAAGAGTGAAGGGGTAACAGAGAGGGGTACTCTAACTAAGTGGAGGAGTGGAGGGGTAACAGAGAGGAGGGGTACGCTAACTAAGTGGAGGAGTGGAGGGGTAACAGAGAGGAGTACGTTAACTAAGTGGAGGAGTGGAGGGGTAACAGAGAGGAGGGGTAACGTTACCTAAGTTAGGAGTGGATGGGTACCAGAAGGATGAGGTAACAAGTACTAGGAGGGTAACAAGAGGGGGAGGGGTACGTTAAATAAGTGGAGAGGAAGGGGTAACCAGAGAGGAGGGGTACGCTAACTAAGTTTAGAGTGGAGGGGTACAAAGAGGAGAGGGTTAACTAAGTGGAGGAGTGGAGGGGTAACAGAGAGGAGGGGTACGACTAAGTGGAGGAGTGGAGGGGTAACAGAGAGGAGACGCTAACTAAGTGGAGGAGTGGAGGGGTAACAGAGAGGAGGGGTACGCTAACTAAGTGGAGGAGTGGAGGGGTAACAGAGAGGAGTACGTTAACTAAGTGGAGGAGTGGAGGGGTAACAGAGGAGGAGTACGTTAACTAAGTGGAGGAGGGGGGAGGGGTAACAGAGAGGAGGGGTACGCTAACTAAGTGGAGGAGTGGAGGGGTAACAGAGAGGAGGACGCTAACTAAGTGGGGAGTGGAGGGGTAGAGAGGAGGCGTAACTAAGTGGAGGAGTGGATGGGTAACAGAGGGGGGACGCTAAAAACTAAGGGAGGGTGGGTAACAAGGGAGGAGTAAGTTAACAAGTGAGAGGAGTGGAGGGGTAACAGAGCGGAGGGGGGTACGTAAAAGGAGGAGTGGAGGGGTAACAGAGAGGGGTACGTTAACTAAGTGGAGGAGGGTGGGGGGGTAAAGAGAGGAGGGGTTTCGTTAACTAAAGGAGGAGTGGAGGGGTAACAGAGAGGAGGGTACGCTAACTAAGTGGAGGAGTGAGGGGTTAAAAAAAAAGGGAAAAGGAGGGGTACGTAACTAAGTGGAGGAGGAGGGTAACAGGAGGAGGACGTTATAAGTGGGGGGGGGGGTTAAGGGAACAGAGAGGAGGGACGTTAACTAAGTGAGGAGTGAGGGTACAGAGAGGAGGGTACGCTAACTAAGTGAGGGAGTGGAGGGTAACAGAGGAGGGTCGGTTAACTAAGTGGGGGAAATGGAGGGTAAACAGAGGGAGGATACCTAACTAATGGAGGAGTTTGGGGGGGTAACAGAGAGGAGGACTTAACTAGTGGAGGAGTGGAGGGTAAACGGAGAGGGTACGTTAACTATGGGATAGTGGAGGGGTAACAGAGAGGGGGTACCTAACTAATTTGGGGGATGGGGGGGTAACAGAAGGAGGGGTCGTAACTAAGTGAGGAGTGGAGGGGTAACGAGAGGAGGATACGCTAACTAAGTGGAGGATGAGGGGTAAAAGAGAGGAGTACGCTAACTAAGTGGAGGAGTGGGGGGTAAAAAGGAGGGGGGATACGTTAACTAAGTGGAGGAGTGGAGGGGTAACAGAGAGGAGGAGTACGCTAACTAAGTGGAGGAGTGAAGGGGTAACAGAGAGGAGGGGTAGTTAAAATAAATGGGGGAGTGGGGGGTAACAGAGAGGAGGGGGTACCTAACTAAGTGGGGGTAACAGAGAGGAGGGGTACGCTAACTAAGTGGAGGAGTGAAGGGGTAACAGAGAGGAGGGGTACGCTAACTAAGTGGAGGAGTGGAGGGGGGAACAGAGAGGAGGGGGGACGTTAAATAAAGGGGGAGTTTTGGGGGGTACAGAGGGAGTACTTTTAAATAAGTGGAGGGGGAAAAGAGAGGATACGTTAACTAGTGGGGTGGAGGGGGAAAAAGAAGGAGGGGGACTTAACAAATGGAGGATGGGGGGGTAACGAGAGGAGGGGTACGTTAAAATAATGGGGAGTGGGGGGGTAACAGAGAGGAGGGTACGTTAATAATGGAGGAGTGGAGGGGAACAGAGAGGGTACGTTAACTAAAGGGGGGAGTGGAGGGGTAAAAAGAGGGGTCGTTAAAGTGGAGGAGTGGAGGGGTAAAGAGAAGGGGTACGTTAAAATAAGTGGGGGAGTGGAGGGGGAAAAGAGGGAGGGGTCGTTAAATAAATGGGGGAGTGGAGGGGTAAAAGAGAGGGTACTTAACAAATGGGGATGAGGGGTAAAAAGAGAGGGGGTACGTTAAATAAGTGGGGGATGGGGGGTAACAGAAGAGGGGTACGTTAACTAAGTGGAGGAGTGGAGGGGTAACAGAGAGGAGGAGTACGTAATAAGTGGAGGAGTGGGGTAACAGAGAGGAGGGGTACGTTAACTAAGTGGAGGAGTGGAGGGGTAACAGAGAGGAGGGGTACGTTAACTAAGTGGAGGAGCTCAATACCCCCACCCCCTTAGCCCCCTCCCCTCCGTTTTTTGCTTAATCCCACGAGCTCTTTGGAATGGAAGTGCAGTCCCAATTCAGGTTTAGACATTTTTGTTAATTTATAAAAAATAAAAACTGAAATATCACATTTACATAAGTATTCAGACCCTTTACTCAGTACTTTGTTGAAGCACCTTTGGCAGTGATTACAGCAACGAGTCTTCTTGGGTATGACGCTACAAGCTTGGCACAACTGTATTTGGGGAGTTCAACCCATTCTTCTCTGCAGATCCTCAAGCTCGGTCACGTTGGATGGGGAGCGTTGCTGCACAGCTAATTTCAGGTCTCTCCAGAGATGTTCGATCGGGTTCAAGTCCAGGCTCTGGCTGGGCCACTCAAGGACATTCAGAGACTTGTCCCGAAGCCACTCCTGCTTTGTCTTGGCTGTGTGGTTAGGGTCGTTGTCCTGTTGGAAGGTGAACCTTCGCCCCAGTCTGAGGTCCTGAGCGCTCTGGAGCAGGTTTTCATCAAGGATCTCTCTGTACTTTTCTCTGTTCATCTTTCCCTCGATCCTCACTAGTCTCCCAGTCCCTGCTGCTGAAAAACATCCCCACAGCATGATGCTGCCACCACCATGCTTCACCGTAGGGATGGTGCCAGGTTTCCTCCAGACGTGACACTTGGCATTCAGGCCAAAGAGTTCAATCTTGGTTTCATCAGACCAGAGAATCTTGTTTCTCATGGTCTGAGTCCTTTAGGTGCCTTTTGGCAAACTCCAAGCTGGCTGTCATGTGCCTTTTACTGAGGAGTGGCTTCCGTCTGGCCATTCTACCATAAATGCCTGATTGGTGGAGTGCTGCAGAGATGGTTGTCCTTCTGGAAGGTTCTCCCATCTCCACATAGGAACTCTGTCAGAGTGACCATTGGTTTCTTTGTCACCTCCCTGACCAAGGCCCTACTCCCCCGATTGCTCAGTTTGGCCGGGCGGCCAGCTCTAGGAAGAGTTTTGGTGGTTCCAAACTTCTTCTATTTGAGAATGATGGAGGCCACTGTGTTTTTGGGGACCTTCAATGCTGCAGAAATGTTTTGATACCCTTCCCCAGATCTGTACCTCGACACAATCCTGTCTCGGAGCTCTACGGACAATTCCTTCAACCTCATGTCTTGGTTTTTGCTCTGAAATGCACTGTCAACTGTGGGACCTTATATAGCCTTTCCAAATCATGTCCAATAAATTGAATTGACCACAGGTGGACTCCAATCAAGTTGTAGAAACACCAAGGCTGATCATTGGAAACAGGATGCTCCGGAGCGCAATTTTGAGTCTCAGAGCAAAGGGTCTGAATACTTATGTAAATAAAGTATCTGTTTTTATTTTTAATACATTTGCAACAATTTCTAAAAACCTTTTTTTGCTTCTTCCTTATTGGGTAGTGTGTGTAGTGTGTAGATTGCTGAGGATAATAAAACATTTTTTTTTGTGGAAAAAGTCAAGGGGTCTGAAAACTTTCCGAAGGCACTGTATGTAGCCGAGCTATGGAAGGACCCTAAAACGTTTGGTATACACAGAACAAAAAATAAAAAATGCAACATGCAACAATTTCTAAGATTTTACTGAGTTACAGTACATAAGGAAACCAGTCAATTGAAAAAAAAATGTTACGCCCTAATCTATGGATTTCACATGACTGGGAATACAGATATGCATCTGTTGGTCACAGATACCTTTAAAAAAAAAGTTAGGGACGTGGATCAGAAAACCAGTCAGTATCTGGTGTGACCACCATTTTTCTCATGCAGCGCTACACATCTCCTTCGCATAGAGTTGATCAGGCTGTTGATTATGGCCTGTGGAATGTCACACTCCTCTTCAATGGCTGTGCGAAGTCACTGGATATTGGGAGGAACTGGAACACATTGTCGTACACGTCGATCCAGAGCATCCCAAACATGCTCAATGGGTGACATGTCTGGTGAGAATGCAGGCAATGGAAGAACTGGGACATTTTCAGCTTCCAGGAATTGTGTACAGATCCTTGCGACATGGGGCCGTGCATTATCATGATGAAACATCAGGTGATGGCGGCGGATGAATGGCACGACAACTGGCCTCAGGATCTCGTCACGGTATCTCTGTGCATTCAAATGTGGAGGTCCTGGGCAGGCGTGGTTACACATAGTCTGCGGTTGTGAGGCAGGTTGGACATACTGCCAAATTCTCTAAAGCGATGTTGGAGGCAGCTTACGGTAGGGAAATGAACTTTAAATTCTCTGGCAACAGCTCTGGCGGACATTCCTGCAGTCAGCACGCCAATTGCATGCTCCCTCAAAACTTGAGACATCTGTGGCATTGTATAGTGTGACAAAACTGCACATTTTAGAGCGGCCTTTTATTGTCCCCAGCACAAGGTGCACCTATGTAATGATCATGCTGTTTAATTTCTGGTATCTTTTATTTCAGCTCATGAAACATGGGACCGAATGTTGCGTTGATATTTTTCTTCAGTGTAGTTCAGAACAGTGGTTTTAAATTGTTCTACAATGCTTCCACTGGTTAGTCATAAATCCCCAAGAACTGGCACAAAATGACAACTGAAATAAATGGGACTGTTACATGTCAAACTGCTGTTGTCAACCTGTGGGCTCTCGTTCTCCGTAGCCGATGTTATGAAGTCATTTAAGGCGTTAACCCTCCCAAGGCTGCCGGCCGGCCCAGACGGCTTCCCAAGCAGTGTCCTGAGAGCATGTGCAGACCAGCTGGCTGGAGTGTTTACGGACATCGTCTGCTGTCCCCACTTGCTTCAATACAGTATTGTCCACCATTGTTCCTGTACCCCCAAAAAAGCAAAAGGTAACTAAAGGATTATCGCCCTGTAGCACTCACTTCCGTCATCATGAAGTGCTTTGAGAGGCTAGTTAAGGGCCATATCACCTCCACCTTATCCCCACTACAATTTGCATACCACCCAAAACAGATCCACGGATGACGCAATCGCCGTCGCACTGCACACTGCCCTATCCCATCTGGACAAGAGGAATACCCACGTAATAATGCTGTTCATCGACTACAGCTGGTCCTCTGTAGCTCAGCTGGTAGAGCACGGCGCTTGTAACGCCAAGGTAGTGGGTTCGATCCCCGGGACCACCCATACGTAAAAATGTATGCACGCATGACTGTAAGTCGCTTTGGAAAAAAGCGTCTGCTAAATGGCATATTATTATTATTAATATTATTATAACACCATAGTGCCCTCCAACATCGTCACTAAGCTCAGGGCCCTGGGAGTGAATCCTGACAGGCTGCCCCCAGGAGGTGAAGGTAGACAACACCACCTCAACACGACACAACAGTGGCAGGCCTGATTACCAACAACGATGGAGACGGGCGAGAGACCTGGCGGAGTGGTTCTAGGAAAATAACCTCTCCGTCAACAAAACGAAGGAGCTGACCGTGGACTACAGGAGACAGCAGAGAGAGCACGCCGCCATCCACGTCGACGGGGCCGCAGCGGATGGGGTCAAAAGCTTCAAGTTCCTCGGCAGCACATCGTTGACAACCTGAAATGGTCCCTTCACACAGATGGCGTGGTGGAGGCTGAAGCCATAGGAGGCTGGCCCCGAAGATCCTCACAAACTTCTACAGATGCACCATTGAGAGCATCCTGTCGGGCTGTATCACCGCCTGGTACGGCAATTGCACCATCCGCAACCGCATGGCTGTCCAGAGGGTGGTGCGGTCAGCCCAACGCATCACCAGGGGCACACTGCCTGTCCTCCAGGACATCTACAGCACCAGATGTCACTTCTATCTCAAGGCCATCAGACTGTTAAACAGACAACACTAGCCGGTCTCAGCCCAGTACCCTGCTCTGAACTTTAGTCACTGTTAGTAGCCGGCTACCACCCGGTTACTCAACCCTGCACCTTAGAGACTGCTGCCCTATGTACAATAGGTACATGGAATCACTGGTCACTTTAATGATGTTTACATACTGTTTCACCCACTTTATGTATAAACTGTATTCTAGCTCATCCTATATAACGTATAATTTTATTTTTCTCGATTATGTGTTCTTTATTTATATTTATTTGTTATTGCTAGGTATTACTGCACTGTTGGCGCTAGAAACACAAGCATTTGTGATATGAAAGTCTTGCTACATTACCACTCCACATTGAACCACAGCCAGAGGATGGCTACATTACCACTTCACATTGAACCACAGCCAGAGGATGGCTACATTACCACTTCACATTGAACCACAGCCAGAGGATGGCTACATTACTACTCCACATCCCTCTACTAGTAGAATGAGATTGAGCCTCCCTCTCCCAGACTTGAACTACTAGTAGGAAGGGATTGAGCCTCCCTCTCCCAGACTTGAACTACTAGTAGGTTGGGATTGAGCCTCCCTCTCCCAGACTTGAACTACTAGTAGGTTTGGATTGAGCCTCCCTCTCCCAGACTTGAACTACTAGTAGGATGGGATTGAGCCTCCCTCTCCCAGACTTGAACTACTAGTAGGTTGGGATTGAGCCTCCCTCTCCCAGACTTGAACTACTAGTAGGTTGGGATTGAGCCTCCCTCTCCCAGACTTGAACTACTAGTAGGTTGGGATTGAGCCTCCCTCTCCCAGACTTGAACTACTAGTAGGTTGGGATTGAGCCTCCCTCTCCCAGACTTGAACTACTAGTAGGTTGGGATTGAGCCTCCCTCTCCCAGACTTGAACTACTAGTAGGTTGGGATTGAGCCTCCCTCTCCTAGACTTGAACTACTAGTAGGTTGGGATTGAGCCTCCCTCTCCCAGACTTGAACTACTAGTAGGTTGGTGTCGTTCTCATGGTCGTTGTGTTGGTGCCATGTTGGAGTGGCCAGAGAGTGGCTGAGGCGCCAATGCCCCCACCACCCCACAGCAGAACAGAATCACCTCATGGGAAGAAGACAGACTGGAGGGATACTGGGTCTGGAGGCTCAAACGGCACCCTACTCTTAATATAGTGCACTACTTTTGAACAGGGCCCATAGTGGACTATTTAGGGCATTGGGTGCCATTTGGGCCTCAGGGAAGAGACTGGGCTGACTAGTGCACTCTGTCTGTAGCACTGTGGACAAGGCGACAGGATGGAGGCCTACACCTACGTAACGAGCCAAAACTAAATCTAGGAAAACAAAGTCCGTCTTGAAACGGAGCCTGGGGCATCGGCAGGCAGGGAGAGAGAGAGAGAGGGGCCCCCTGACCCTGACTGACTGACTGACACAATGTGTTGGAACATATGCTATTGGACGTTTCCACCATCTATATGATATTGAGGGTCGCTGGTTAGCGGGACAATCTGGAATTCAAACAAAAAAAGCCAAGCTGCCACTCCACTTTTTTGGTTAACAGCTTAGAGATGGGAGGCTGAGAAAAGAAACCTCTCAAATTCATAGACAGTGCTACGGATGCTAAGGACTGATCATCCATGATATCAAATGATATATTTATTCAAGAATCAATGGCTACTTATCAATTTAAATGTTTAACAAAATAGATGTATCAATCACAGATTGCCCTTTTAAAATGTCTTCATGCTAGACAGGGTCTCTGTGGCTCTCCGAGCTAGACCTAATCATAGGCTGAGTCCCAAATTATACCCTATATAGTGCACAACTTCTGACCGTAGCCCAATAGGCCCTGGTCAAAAGTGGGGTGGAACGCAGTCGGTCTCTCTCTGTGGCTCTGGGAGACAGGGTCTCTCTCTGTGGCTCCGGGAGACGGGGTCTCTCTCTGTGGCTCCGGGAGACGGGGTCTCTCTGTGGCTCTGGGAGACGGGGTCTCTCTCTGTGGCTCTGGGAGACAGGGTCTCTCTCTGTGGCTCTGGGAGACAGGGTCTCTCTCTGTGGCTCTGGGAGACAGGGTCTCTCTCTGTGGCTCTGGGAGACAGGGTCTCTCTCTGTGGCTCTGGGAGACAGGGTCTCTCTCTGTGGCTCCGGGAGACAGGGTCTCTCTCTGTGGCTCCGGGAGACAGGGTCTCTCTCTGTGGCTCCGGGAGACAGGGTCTCTCTCTGTGGCTCCGGGAGACAGGGTCTCTCTCTGTGGCTCCGGGAGACAGGGTCTCTCTCTGTGGCTCCGGGAGACAGGGTCTCTCTCTGTGGCTCCGGGAGACAGGGTCTCTCTCTGTGGCTCCGGGAGACAGGGTCTCTCTCTGTGGCTCCGGGAGACAGGGTCTCTCTCTGTGGCTCCGGGAGACAGGGTCTCTCTCTGTGGCTCCGGGAGACAGGGTCTCTCTCTGTGGCTCTGGGAGACAGGGTCTCTCTCTGTGGCTCTGGGAGACAGGGTCTCTCTCTGTGGCTCCGGGAGACAGGGTCTCTCTCTGTGGCTCCGGGAGACAGGGCCTCTCTCTGTGGCTCTGGGAGACAGGGTCTCTCTCTGTGGCTCTGGGAGACAGGGTCTCTCTCTGTGGCTCCGGGAGACAGGGTCTCTCTCTGTGGCTCTGGGAGACGGGGTCTCTCTCTGTGGCTCTGGGAGACAGGGTCTCTCTTCTTCCACATTTTGTTGTGTTACAGCCTGAATTAAAAATGTATTAAATTGACATTTTTTGGCACTGGCCTACACACAATACCCCATAATGTCAAGGTCGAATTATGTTTTTTGAAATGTTTACAAATTAATTAAAAATGAAAAGCTGAAATGTCGAGTCAATAAGTATTTAACCCCTTTGTTATGGCAAGCCTAAATAAGTTCAGGAGTACAAATGTGCTTAACAAGTCACATAATAAGTTGCATGGACTCACTGTGTGCAATAATAGTGTTAACATGATTTTTGAACGACTACCTCATCTCTGTACCCCACACATACAATTAACTCTAAGATCCCTCGTCGAGCAGTGCATTTCGACCAGTTACTCTCCCTTCCGGGATGGCTACAAGGCCCTCTCTTCGTCAAATCAGATCACGACTCCATTCTGCTCCTCCCTTCCTATAGGCAGAAACTCAAACAGGAAGTATCCATGCAAAGGTCTATTCAATGCTGGTCTGACATATCGGAATCCATGCTTCAAGATTGTTTTGATCACGTGGACTGGGATATGTTCCGGGTTGCCTCAGAGAATAACATTGACACAGTGACTGAGTTCATCAGGAAGTGTATAGGGGATGTTGTTCCCACCATGACTATTAAAACCTACCCAAACCAAAAAACGTGGGTAGATGGCAGCATTCGCGCAAAACTGAAAGCATGAACAACCGCATTTAACCACGGCAAGGTGACTGGGAATATGGTCGAATACAAACAGTGCAGTTATGCCCTCCGTAAGGAAATCAAACAGGCAAATGTCAGTACAGAGACAAAGTGGAGTCGCAATTCAACGGCTCACACGAGACTTGTGACAGGGACTCCAGACAATCACGGATTGCAAAGGGAAAACCAGTCGTGGACACCGACGTCTTGCTGCCGGACAAGCTAAACACCTTCGTCGCCCGCCTTTGCGACAACAAAGTGCCAACGACACGTCCCGCTCCCGAGTACTGTGGGCTCTCGTTCTCCGTGGCCGACGTGAGTAAAACATCCTCAAATGTAGGAACTGGGTTCTACAGTTTGACCCCCCTGCGGTCTCTGGCTCCACCCCCCTTAGATGTGTTAAGGTTAGTGTATTTTCTGTAGGGAAGCTAATGATCCATCATGTATGACATTCCATTGAGCTCCCGAGTGGCGCAGCGGTCTAAGGCACTGCATCTCAGTGCTTGAGGCGTCACTACAGACCGAGTGGCGCAGCGGTCTAAGGCACTGCATCTCAGTGCTTGAGGCGTCACTACAGACCGAGTGGCGCAGCGGTCTAAGGCACTGCATCTCAGTGCTTGAGGCGTCACTACAGACCGAGTGTCGCAGCGGTCTAAGGCACTGCATCTCAGTGCTTGAGGCGTCACTACAGACCGAGTGGCGCAGCGGTCTAAGGCACTGCATCTCAATGCTTGAGGCGTCACTACAGACCGAGTGGCGCAGCGGTCTAAGGCACTGCATCTCAGTGCTTGAGGCGTCACTACAGACCGAGTGGCGCAGCGGTCTAAGGCACTGCATCTCAGTGCTTGAGGCGTCACTACAGACCGAGTGGTGCAGCGGTCTAAGGCACTGCATCTCAGTGCTTGAGGCGTCACTACAGACCCCCTGGTTCGATTCCAGGCTGTATCACAACCGGCCGTGATTGGGAGTCCCATAGGGCGGCGCACAATTGGCCCAGCGTCGTCCGGGTTTGGCCGGTGTAGGCCGTCATTGTAAATAAGAATTTGTTCTTAACTGACTTGCCTAGTTAAATAAAGGTTAAATAAAAAATAAAAATAAATTCCTGGGAGTGTGTAAACTTAAATTGTTTATTAACATAGCATTTTTGTATGTTCTCTATTAGTTATGTACTTGTAACTGTATAAATTGACCAATTAGGAACATTTGAGAAAACTCCTGGCAGACTTGATACAAAATATTGTGTAGTGACGTAATCCTTCCCTGGATCAGTCTGAAACTTTGCACACACAATGCTGCCATCTTGTGGACAAAATCTAAATTACACCTATATTCCTACATCACTGTCTGGCCTTTCTCTTGCATTTCAAAGATAATTCAACAACAAAAATAGAAAACTCATGTTTTTTTTAATGTTCTTTTACCAGATCTAATGTATTATATTCTCCTACATTCAAATTTCCACAAACTTCAAAGTGTTTCCTTTCAAATGGTATCAAGAATATGCATATCCTTGCTTCAGGTCCTGAGCTACAGGCAGTTAGATTTGGGTATGTCATTTTAGGCGAAAATGGAAAGAAAAGGGTACGATACTTAAGATGTTATTAATAAACTATGACATCCCAGTAATCAGTATCAGGTACAGACTGTTCAACCACGTATAGTCCGTTTAATCAGATATAGACCATTTAAATCAGGTATAGACTGTTTAGGGTGTCTGTCAAATGGCACCCTATCAACAAATCAACCCTGTGCACTTCACTTCAAGAAGGCAAAACGAGAGCAGTGTTTTTACTCATTCCCTCCACAGTAAACAGAAAACATTCCTGCAGGCCTGTCTGTGGTTTCCATATGAATGTGTTTGAAGTAGAACCAGACTTAGATATTTGTAGTCCAGATACTGTAATTGGTTCCAAGCAGCACATGTTATAAGAAAGGAATGAGATACATTGGTCCCAAATGACATCCTATTTCCTATATAGTGCACTACTTTTGACCCGGAGCCCGGAGGCGAAAGTAGTGCACTTTGTAGGAAACCGGCCAGGGTGCCATTTGGGGGACACATACACTGCGTCTGAAGAACATTGATTAGTACAGATTAAATAAAGACTACTAAATGATTCAATAGATTCTTAAGTAGGTTTTAAATCCCATTTCGTATCTGTTGAGAAACATTTGTTTCTGTTTTCTGTTTGACTTCTGACTGAGGTCACATGGTTCAGAGATACTAGGAGACTTCTGACTGATGTCATAGTTTATTAATAACATCAGAGATCCTAGGAGACTTCTGGCTGAGGTCACATGGTTATAAGGTTCAGAGATACTAGGAGACTTCTGACTGAGGTCACATGGTTCAGAGATACTAGGAGACTTCTGACTGAGGTCACATGGTTATTAGGTTCAGAGATACTAGGAGACTTCTGACTGAGGTCACATGGTTCAGAGATACTAGGAGACTTCTGACTGAAGTCACATGGTTCAGAGATACTAGGAGACTTCTGACTGAGGTCACATGGTTATTAGGGTCAGAGATACTAGGAGACTTCTGACTGAGGTCACATGGTTATAAGGTTCAGAGATACTAGGAGACTTCTGACTGAGGTCACATGGTTATAAGGTTCAGAGATACTAGGAGACTGACTGAGGTCACATGGTTATTAGGTTCAGAGATACTAGGAGACTTCTGACTGAGGTCACATGGTTCAGAGATACTAGGAGACTTCTGACTGAGGTCACATGGTTATTAGGTTCAGAGATACTAGGAGACTTCTGACTGAGGTCACATGGTTCAGAGATACTAGGAGACTTCTGACTGAGGTCACATGGTTATAAGGTTCAGAGATACTAGGAGACTTCTGACTGAGGTCACATGGTTATAAGGTTCAGAGATACTAGGAGACTTCTGACTGAGGTCACATGGTTATTAGGTTCAGAGATACTAGGAGACTTCTGACTGAGGTCACATGGTTATAAGGTTCAGAGATACTAGGAGACTTCTGACTGAGGTCACATGGTTATAAGGTTCAGAGATACTAGGAGACTTCTGACTGAGGTCACATGGTTATAAGGTTCAGAGATACTAGGAGACTTCTGACTGAGGTCACATGGTTATAAGGTTCAGAGATACTAGGAGACTTCTGACTGAGGTCACATGGTTATAAGGTTCAGAGATACTAGGAGACTTCTGACTGAGGTCACATGGTTATTAGGTTCAGAGATACTAGGAGACTTCTGACTGAGGTCACATGGTTATAAGGTTCAGAGATCCTAGGAGACTTCTGACTGAGGTCACATGGTTATAAGGTTCAGAGATACTAGGAGACTTCTGACTGAGGTCACATGGTTATAAGGTTCAGAGATACTAGGAGACTTCTGACTGAGGTCACATGGTTATTAGGTTCAGAGATACTAGGAGACTTCTGACTGAGGTCACATGGTTATTAGGTTCAGAGATACTAGGAGACTTCTGACTGAGGTCACATGGTTATAAGGTTCAGAGATACTAGGAGACTTCTGACTGAGGTCACATGGTTATAAGGTTCAGAGATACTAGGAGACTTCTGACTGAGGTCACATAGTTATTAGGTTCAGAGATACTAGGAGACTTCTGACTGAGGTCACATGGTTATAAGGTTCAGAGATACTAGGAGATTTCTGACTGAGGTCACATGGTTCAGAGATACTAGGAGACTTCTGACTGAGGTCACATGGTTCAGAGATACTAGGAGACTTCTGACTGAGGTCACATGGTTCAGAGATACTAGGAGACTTCTGACTGAGGTCACATGGTTCAGAGATACTAGGAGACTTCTGACTGAGGTCACATGGTTATAAGGTTCAGAGATACTAGGAGACTTCTGACTGAGGTCACATGGTTATTAGGTTCAGAGATACTAGGAGACTTCTGACTGAGGTCACATGGTTCAGAGATACTAGGAGACTTCTGACTGAGGTCACATGGTTCAGAGATACTAGGAGACTTCTGACTGAGGTCACATGGTTATAAGGTTCAGAGATACTAGGAGACTTCTGACTGAGGTCACATGGTTATAAGGTTCAGAGATACTAGGAGACTTCTGACTGAGGTCACATGGTTATAAGGTTCAGAGATACTAGGAGACTTCTGACTGAGGTCACATGGTTCAGAGATACTAGGAGACTTCTGACTGAGGTCACATGGTTATAAGGTTCAGAGATACTAGGAGACTTCTGACTGAGGTCACATGGTTATAAGGTTCAGAGATACTAGGAGACTTCTGACTGAGGTCACATGGTTATAAGGTTCAGAGATACTAGGAGACTTCTGACTGAGGTCACATGGTTATTAGGTTCAGAGATACTAGGAGACTTCTGACTGAGGTCACATGGTTATTAGGTTCAGAGATACTGTCAGTCTCTCTCTGTTGAACTGTAAGAGTCAATATGTTCTACTGGTGGAGTACGTGCCTTCTGAAGGTTTGTGTTTTGATGGAGAATATGGATCACTAGATCAAATTGTGTCACTGGGAAAAGCTGACCATCTCAGCCTTGACGAACAGCCTCAGTTTGTCAGAATGTTGATGACGGTCCAAGAACCAGCAGTGATAATCACACCATCTCACCGTTTGTCATGAAGCAACAGCCAACACATTGTCATAACAAGGCCTGAAGAAACCAGAACACATTGTTAAAACAAGGCCTGAAGAAACCAGAACACATTGCTAAAACAAGGCCTGAAGAAACTAGAACAGATTGCTATACCAAGGCCTGAACAAAGCGATACTGTAAATAAATTATTTCTTACAAGGACTTCACATAAGCTCTTCTGTTCCTTACTGAACGGTTGGTGATTGAGGTCCATAGTGACATGCCAGGCACTGGGGGCTGAACTAAGGGGAGTCCATCATAGACTGGATACGTTACATTGACAGCCAACCATAAGACTAAAGGCCAGGATTCAAACCAACACAGATTAGCCACGCAGTGTGATGCTCATTTATTTGCACGTGTTTGAATCCTGGCCCAAGACACGCCTTCCTTTCGACTCAGGGATGAGAGATGAGAGCCTTACGTTTTCGTAGAGGGCTTGTAGAGTCTCCAGGTCCACCACAGTATTGTCCAGGTGCAGGATGGCTGGAAGGAACAGAAGACAGTTAGTGGTTATAGAGGATGGCTGGAAGGACCAGAACACAGTTAGTGGTAATAGAGGATGGCTGGAAGGGTCAGAACACAGTTAGTGGTTATAGAGATGGCTGGAAGGAACAGAAGACAGTTAGTGGTTATAGAGGATGGCTGGAAGGGACAGAACACAGTTAGTGGTTATGGAGGATGGCTGGAAGGGTCAGAACACAGTTAGTGGTTATAGAGGATGGCTGGAAGGGTCAGAACACAGTTAGTGGTTATAGAGGATGGCTGGA